TGGGGCTGCAGGTGTTGGCGCTGTGGGGCTGTGGACTTGGTTCCCTCCTGCCCCTCCGAGCCATTCTGGGATCACACCTGGGGTGTGTCTAATCCCTTCAGAGCCATCCATCGCCAGGCACGGGCCAGTCAGTCCAACTGGGAACAGCCCCAGAGCTCTTTATTTTGTATTTACAGGCGCATGTCTGCAGGTGAGAGGCCTCCCCGCCGTTGGCTAACAGCCACTGCCACAGCCGCCGCTCCCGGCACCACCTCCTCTGCTGCGGTTCCAGCATCTGGTGCTGGGGAGGAAGAAAGAGAAGGGTCTGATGTATGGACAGAGTCCATAGGTAGAGAATTCCTGCAGGCGTAGCTCAGGCCACCTGTGTTGGGATCTGCTTGCTGTGAGGTGTCTGTGAAGGGGGAGAGACCCCTGATGCCCAGGCCCATGAGAAGGTCCCAGGTGCAGCTGGTCAGCCTGGGGCTCAGTCTGGTGGGGCTGAGACCTTGGGTGTTTCCCCCGGGGGCAAGGTGTCTTGGGGCAGGACTCTGCAAGGGAAGGCCACGCTCTCTGGTTTGGAAAGGAGAGCGCCCTCCATCAGAGGGACCCCTCTGCCTTCAGCCAGGACTTTTACATCCCCCATGGAAAGCCTGTTCTGGGTGCCGAGGCAGCCCCCCTGGGTGTCAGGGAGGTCCAGCCCAAAGCCAGCCTCCAAAACCTGCTTCTGTCTCACGAGGGCTGTCAGACAAATGTCCTCTTTGCCCCGGGACTGCCCTCAGTGGAGGCAGGGACCCTGCAGCCAGGGGCGGCACCATCCCTTTTTGGAGACGCTTACCAGGGGAGCTGCCTCTGCTGCTCTCGACGCCGCCTCCGCTCCTCAGCGACGTGCTGGTAGATGCTCCTCTGTCTCTGGTGCGGCTCCAGCTTTCTGAGGACCTGGGCAGCTCGTGGGGAAAGGTGGCTGCAACAATGAGGAAAGGTCATCCTTCAGCCTCTGCCGGAGACCCCTCTGCCTCTCCCCGCTCCAGCCCCTGTGCCCACCCTATCCCCCACGTGCCCCGCCTTTCACCCTGCGGGTGAGTTTTAGGCCTTGGCTGTGTGGGTAACCCTGGTCATGCCCCAGGCAGGGGACACCAGAGGCTGTCCTGTGGCACCCCAAGACTCAGGGATGGGGAACCTGGCCATCTCTGCGTGGTCATGGCTGCTGGACCGCTCCAGGCTGGGGCCAGAGCCAGTGCACACTTACTCTAGTCGCAGTCTCTCCAGCTGGGCTGCTACTGCCCTCTCCTCTGCTGGGAGAAGATTTTCAGCCTTCCTCCACCTGCAGCTGACCTCCCTTCTCCTGGGCTGGGCTGGAGGGTGGGGAATCCGAGTGTCTTCAGTGCTGAGGGCCTGCCAAGGAGGAGACGCTCTCAGCAAAGGGCAAACAGAGGTGCCATTTCCCAGAGGAGCTCCCATGAAAGGAGCCCACAGCAGGACCTGGGCGCAGGAGACTCAGCACCGTGTGCCTGTCATCACGGCCGACGGCTGCTTTCACCCCTCATGTCCTGCTACCGATCTCTCCCGCACGGGGATGAGCGGGCAAAGCCCTGGCCTGCAGCAGGGGTCAGTCCTGCTCCCACCCCCCGGGTGGCTGCTGCTCTCAGGGGTGTCACTCGCTGCCCGTACCTGAGGTGGCTCTCGGTCCTGCCCTGCAGACCAGGCTTCCCAGGCTGCCGCTTCTGCCTTTGCTTGCTGCAGCCGCTCTCGCAACCGGTTCTTGGGCTGCTCCCACCCTGCAGACAGCTGCCGGACCTCCTGGAGAGGATGGAAATGCAGCAGCAGGCAGGATTAGTCTCAGCTCCTGGAGAGCCTTCCTTCAGCTCTGAGTCACAGTGGTACCCCTTGCCTCAGGTGGCAGCGCTTTGCCCTGCACAGATCTAGGGGCATGGAGTCACGCCAGGCTCCTCCACTCATGGCAATCACAGCTGAGTGACCACAGACCTCCACTGTCAGCAGCCTAGAAAGGATTTGGACATTTTCTATAGCCCCTGGCCAGAATAAAGTGTTTCATTACAACCCA